CATCCAGGTCCCCCAGCCAACCCATCACTAGGACCTTACTATCTGTCCCCCTTGTCCTCCCTCCCCCCCCCCCCGAATGAGGGTTAAGGTGGGCTATAAGGAAAGGGGGTTTACTCCCTGCAGTGCCAGTCATAGGAAACCTGAATCCTGCCCCCTCGGTCCTGCTCCTTCAACAAACACCTCCTTTTTAAGTCCTTTACCAAGCCATTTATCTGGTCACTGTATCCATTCCCTATTGAGTACCTGCACTGAACTGAACTGTAGTTGTAGGATTTATATTGGTTAAGGTACTATGGAAACAAAAAGGAGTTTGTATTATCTTGTTTATCTTGTAGTTTACAATCTATAGGGCACTGTTGCAGGATGCCATTCAAGTCCATTTCTATATTATCATTGATAGATAAGTATGGTTCATTTTTCTAATGACTAAGGAAAAGTAGCTGCGAATAAATAATAAAAATAGTGCTTTTCGCATAATTTCTAGTTTACAGAATGGTTCTGAATAATAATTTAACTATAGTTAGAATATGGCAAGATGACTTTTTTTTTAATGGAGAGTAATTTTACGATTGTGGGAAATTTCTATCTAGATTAACAGTACTTAATTTTTTTTAAAAAATATGTCTTACGGTAAATACTTAGTAAATAGTAAATACTTAGTAATGCAGTAACCAATATGTATGATTTCTAGCATATCTTAGAAGTGTATGCATGTCCTCTGTATTATGGGTTATAGAACTGTTCGTAGTGAGAGTCAGAATTTGGTCTGTGTTATAGGTCACCTAAGTCACCTGATATGACTTCTGTTCTCTGAATTGATTATTTAACCTTTATGAAAAGAGCCATGGTGCTTGGAAAAAAAAATCACTCAGATACTGAATCACTGAAGGAGAGGTTGGGAGTACTTCAGGGAGATAGATAAATGAGTTAAGTAGACCTAGAAAATCTTTTGCTGTCCCCTAGAAGGGTTAAGGAGACTTGGCCTGCAATGCCTTGAGTATTCTGAGAATACCCATTTTTGCAACGCCATCATGTCTGATCCTACTGATGCAGTGGAATGGGTGGCCCAATGTGTGTAGGACAAGGCTTTCTGTCTGAGGCTTACTCCAGGTAATACCTAGGTAATGGTAGACTAAGGAAACAACTGGAAAACAAAACACTCCACCCCGCACACAATTCTAGCCCTGGGGAGAGGATGAGAGAAGAAGCCACAGGTTTCAGTTATTAGTCCTATCGCTAATGCTCTGCTGGAAGGCACTAAGTCTAAGAACCTATATAGAATGCAACTGTGAGTACCTGGGTGGAATTGAAATTGTTTGTTTTGACCTTTAAACCACTAGATGGTTTGAGAATGAAACAGCAGATGTGCTTGAACTGGAGCATCTTCTATTTAAACAGGAGGAATTCTCTATCGGGGTCTGAGGTCCCCTTCTTGAAATTTTGCTTCCCAGTCAGCTTGGTTCACGACAGCACAGATTCACTGCAAAATACATCTTTTTCATGGGGTTAGGCTGATAGGTGAGGAGGTTCATTATTGTTTACAGGTGGATAGATAATTGTAATTAGTCATTATAAAGTCAGACTACACAGTTTACCAGGAGAACTCTGATTGCTTATAGTTGTTTCAGTAAATTTCAATAAATGTATGTGGGCCATGCAGCATGGAGAGGAACAATTGTTCCTGGACATTGACCCCGCCATCCTTGTGTTAGTATCTGGCAACACCACAGATATCTTGCTGTATGTTCTGAAGCTGGCACAGGTGTCAACTGGCTGCAGGCAAAGGACCTTTCAGAAGTATCTGATCCCCTGCTCCCTCTACTCTCTCCTTATTGGGCTTATGTTCAGTGAAAAAATAGCATTCTCTCTCTCTCGTTTCCTACCTGCCTCCTAACATTCTTGCTTCCAAACATACACAATAGTACGTATTGGGTATGTATTGAGAACTTGGGCAGGTGGGCTAGCACTTCGAGTGCAAATATGCAAACTCACTTACGAATAGCTGTATTCAGATGAATAATAACTTCTCCCAAGTGTTCACATGAACAAAAACAGGTCCCCTAAATGTTCTTGGTCAACTGAACAAAAGAGGACCTGATTAGGGTTAGATTTAATAGTGAGTTGGATTTCATGAACTCATTCACAACTCCCTACTCTCAACAACCAGCAGGCTTGAGGAGCAGCAGAGCAGCGTCGACACACCCTCTCAACCTCATCAAAAGTCAATAGCTTCTGGCAGGAGAATGGGAAAAAAAAAGAAAATTTTTCCCCTTTCAGCCAGTGAAGGGTGTGGGGCTTCAGATTTATCAGACAGAGGTAGCCAGAGGCTGAGCTGTTCCAATAATCTCAGCCTTTGTGCAGGTAGGAATCTCAGCACCTAGGGGGAGCAGGGGCGCTGGACTTCTCATCTGGGCATTTGCCCAGGATTTTACTCATGGGCTTCCCCATCTGATGTATTTGCCTCTCCTAATTAGGCCTTTAGCCCCTGGTTTAGTAGACATCTGAAAGATTTTTCTATCCCTAGGTTGGAGTGTGGGAATGGTACTTGGGAACTTGGATTCTTATCCAAGAACATAAGAACGGCCATACTGGGTCAGACCAAAGGTCCAAAAAGCCCACTATCCCGTCTTCTGACAGTGCTCCAATGGCAGGTGCTCCAGAGGGAATGAACAGAACAGGAAATCATCAAGTGATCCATCCCCTGTTGCCATTCCCAGCTTCTGGCAAACAAAGGCTAGGGACACCATCCCTCCCCATCCTGGCTAATAGAATTTATCTAGTTCTTTTCTGTACCTTGTTATAGTCTTGGTCTTCACAACATCCTCTGGCAAGGAGTTCCACAGGTTGACTCGGCTTTGTGTGGAAAAAATACTTCCTTTTGTTTGTTTTAAACCTGCTGCCTATTAATTTCATTTGGTGACCCCAAGTTCTTGTGTTATGAGAAGGTGTAAATAACACTTCCTTATTTACTTTCTCCACACCAGTTATGATTTTGTAGACCTCAATCATATCCCCCCTTAGTCGTCTCTTTTCCAAGCTGAAAAGTCCCAGTCTTAATCTCTCCTCATACGGAAGCCGTTCCATACCCCTAATAATTTTTGTTTCCCTTTTCTGTACCTTTTCCCATTCCAACATATCTTTTTTAGACGGGGCAACCACATCTGCACATAGTATTCAAGATGTGGGCATACCATGTATTTATATAGAGGTAGTATGATATTTTCTGTCTTATTATCTATCCCTTTCTTAATGATTCCCAATATTCTGTTTGCTTTTTTTGACTGCCGATACACATTGAGTGAATGTTTTAGAGAACTATCCACATTGACTCCAAGATCTTTCTTGGGTGGTAACAGTTAATTTAGACCCCATCATTTTATATGGATAGTTGGGATTATGTTTTCCAGTGTGCATTACTTTGCATTTATCAACATTGAATTTCATCTGCCATTTTGTTGCCCAGTCATCCAGTTTTGAGAGATCCTTTTGTAGCTCTTTGCAGTCTGCGTGGGACTTAACTATCTTAAGTAGTTTTGTATCATCTGCAGTTTTGCCACCTCACTGTTTACCCCTTTTTTTAGATCATTTATGAATATTTTGAATAGGACTGGTCCCAATACAGACCCCTGCGGGACACCACTATTTACCTTTCTCCATTCTGAAAACTGACCATTTATTCCTAGCCTTTGTTTCTTATCTTTTAACTAGTTACCAGTTCATGAGAGAACCTTCCCTCTTATGCCATGACAGCTTACTTTGCTTAAGAGCCATTGGTGAGGGATCTTGTCACAGGCTTTCTGAAAAACTTGGCCCACTATATCCACTGGATCCTCCTTGTCCACATGCTTGTTGACTCCCCTCCCCCCCCCCAGGCAAAGAATTCTGGTAGATCAGTGAGGCATGATTTCCCTTTACGAAAACCATGTTGACTCTTCCTCAAAAAATTATGTTCATCTATGTGTCTGACAAATTTGTTCTTTACTATAGTTTCAACCAGTTTGCCTGGTACTGAAGTCAGGCTTACAGGCCTGTAATTGCCAGGATCACCTCTGGAGTCCTTTTAAAAAATTGGTGTCACATTAGCTATCCTCCAGTCATTTAGTACAGAAGCTGATTTAAATGATAGGTTACAGACTATAGTTAATAGTTCTGCAATTTCACATTTGAGTTCCGTCAGAACTCTTGGGTGAATACCATCTGGTTCTGGCGATTTATTACTATTGTTGATTTACTCCACAACCTGTAATAAAACATCAGTCTCCGTTTCCCCATCTGTAAAATTATAATAATACTTGCCAGACCTACCTCATAGGGGCATTTTAAGGGTTTATTAATATTTGTGAAACAGTTTGGAATAATTGGATATAAGAAACTAAAGAAGTATTTCATTTTATTAAGAGGGGTTAAAAGCTCCAAAATAAAAGGAGGTATGTCGTCCTGTTTTGACTGTTGCTCAAAGGTAAGTTATGATGCTTGCACGTCATAAGTACATAACAATCAGTTTTCTAATCCATAGCTTAAATAGCATCGATATGAGTCTGAAAGGAAAATGGATAAACAAGAATCCCTGAAAATAATGGCCATTTTTGTATTCATGTAGAGTGTGTTTACAAATAGTCTATGATCTTGCCATCTTACCTGCAGTGGCTGGAAAAAAGGCTCTGTTCACTTGATGCCATAACTGAAATAGAATTTTGAATATTGGATTTACTCCTTTAAAAAAGGTTGAAGTACTCAAAGGTTAAAAAGAATATTTAAATCTGAAAATATCTCAATACATTGTAACCTACCATTGTTACATAAAAATATACTTGCAGTTCCATAAATATGAAATAAAAGAATATTTTTAATAATCCACTGTCTTCCTCAGTTTTGAGATACATTTTTGACTTGCCAGGGAGCTTGAAGCTATGCTGACCCTCTCTTTAATATTAATGTACTCTGACTGTACTACTCTGTTCCTTTGCCTCTGATTAATGCTGTCTGTCAATTATTTACAGATCCGGTGGTACTGTGGAAGTTCCCGGAGGACTTCGGAGACCAGGTTGGAAACATGAGATTGAACTTTTTTTTAATGTTAGAATAATAATAAAAAAAGCTCTCCTACTCAGCTGTGGAAAGGCAGATGCTAATGATATCGGAGAGCAAGTCTTCACCAACTGATGGATTAGTAATTAGAATGCATTTGTGAGAAGAATATGAAATAGTAGTTTTGAAGCATTTTATCCATAGTAGTGTCTTTAATAGATTTCACATTCTTTCTATTATATGAACTATAATGTATTCAATGAGTTTTTATGCAGTTCAATTTTTGTGGTGTTTAGGGTTGAAAAAAAGGTACATTTCTCAACAAAGCTTTACAAAAAATCTTAATGAGACAAACATTTGTCTCAAAAGATATATAAATAAACAAAAACATCCTGATATCTACTTTTAATATTGGAACCTTTATAAATAATGTTGCCATAGCAGTTTACAGCTCAACATTTTGTATTGTTTTACAAAATTACTATACATTTTGCTTTGTAGGACAGTTGATTTGCACATGCTAGTAATGGACAAAGGGGGTAAACCTACTGATCGTACAAACACTGAAGCTCTAGTTTCTTATTATGAATTGTTCTCAAAGGTAAACTTAAGCCCACTGTATCTAAAGGGTTATGTCCATACTTGATAGCATTAATAGCAAGTTTATTAATTAGGTAGTCTGCTTAGATGGAGAGAATATTTTATTTGTAACTGTTTTTTAGTATTTCACTATTATTTAGATGTATCTGTTCTATTGACACCATTTTGTATTTGCATAAAAAAAGCTTATGTAGACACAGTTAATAGAAGAAGTGTTTCTGATGCCAGAGAACACCTTCCTTTGCTTGCTTTCTTATATCCATATTGAGTCAACCAAGCATTGACAGTGTCACCACAATAGTTGCTTAGAAATGTCTGAACAGTAGATTTTGTTAAATTGGAGAAACAGTCTGAAATTAATAACATGAGTTTCTATAAAGATAGAAATAAGATGGTTCAGGATTTAAAGGAATAGTTAGCTCACACTTTTTATATTTGTGACTTTATCTGGTTGGGAGATTATTACCAGTCAAGGATCTGGAGGTTATAAGTAAGGAATAAAAAGAATATGAGCAAAGTACACCGTCATACCTTCTTAATCATATATTCTGCAAGTTTTGATAATACCTTTCTGAGGAAAGAATGATTGTCTCTTTTCTGGTTTAAATTCAGAGGTTTTAGGAAGGACTCACTCAAAAGAGGTTAGAAATGAAGTATGAGGACAAGTTGGAATTTAATCAATAGGTTGAGGGTTAGTCAGTGAACATTGGATGTTGAAATATGACTAGAAGATGAAGTCTACTGAAGACGGGAGGGAAACATGTAATGCTGGAATGGACGTGGCCAACCGAATTTTAAAGGCATCTGTCTGGAACCTGGCTTTGGGCTCTGCACAACCTGCATTCATACCTGTTCCACAATTTGGGGAAACTAATATTCTGGTATTATATCAGCTTTCATGGAAAAAAGTAAATTTCAAATCCCCTTTCATGGAGAAGTTGCCTTTAAAATGTAAATTGATCAATAGGTTTTGAAAAGAACAAACCGCTGGGCTTTGCTTCTGCATGAAGGGCTTGATCCAACCAACACATTGCAGTTAGTGGGAGCTTTCATTTACTTCAGTAGGCTTTGGATAAAGCAACAGAAAAGGAGACTTGGAGGATCTAAATAAAGTCCTCTTGCACATTTCTATTTAGATCTAGTCAGAGCATTTGTAATGAAATAATTAAACTTAAATTAATGTTTTGTGTATTTGTGTTTGAGGGGGGATTCACAAAAGAAAATCATGCATGTTTTTCTCCCCATTTTCCAGTCAGCTCTGCTTTAAAAGTAAAATGTGTTCAATTTTGAATGTATGCCAAGGAATCATCTTTCCTAAAATCCCTAGGCACTTGTGATAATAGTGAATTGGTTGCAGTTACAGAGAGTAACACAGAATTGCTTTTCTCCCATGTTGAATGGCTTGACAGCTTATTGCCTTCTCTTGCCTTCACTTTTGTGGTTCAGCAAAACCTTTTTCCTGCTTATTTCACTTGCTCTGATTTTCTCCTCCTCCTTCTCTTCTTATGCTCTTCCTAATCTTTACTGCTTCCTTATATCTTTTTCATCCTCTTGGCTTCACATTTTTTTCCTACTAGCCCTAGGAACATTTTCCTATCTCTTGTTTCCCAAGAGACGTTTGCTCTTTCATATCTGGCCACTTTTGCAAATTCTTCCTGGACAGATCTCACCAAAGTTGTCTCTAGGTCACTTTGCACCAGAACTATTTGGTTTTGGTTTGATTAAAAGGTCATTTCTTTGAGGCAGGAATTTTGTCATCTTATTTATTTTGTCAAGCATTCTGCACATTTAGGGCGCTGGGGAAATAATAGGCACACAATCTGAAAAATGTTCTGTCAGAGTAAACTGGTTAATTATAATCACAGTTTGCATGTGTGGGAGGAAGATGGTCCAATGGTTAGGGTGCCAGCCCAGGACTCACTCTGCCACAGACTTCCTGTGTGACTGTGAACAAATCAGTTTCTCTGTGCTAATTGTTTAAATGCCTGCAAAGCTATTCATGTGGCAGACGAGGCAAAAACAACACAACCCCTCCCCCATTGAAATGTGGAAAAATGCTTTTCCTGATACTTTTACAATATGGATCTCAACACAGAATCATAGAAATGAAGAGCTGGAAGGGACTGCCAGAAGTCATCTGGCCCAGTGCCTTGCTCAGTGGCAGGACCAAATACACCTACCCTATTCCAGCCTTAACTATTTTCATTAGATGCTCTTCAGTTTCCCCAGATCTTTCTTAAAGTATGGTTCCCAAAACTGGACATAGTACTCCAACTGAGGCCTTACCAGTAGGGGGGGACAGTTACTTTCTGGGTCTTACATACAACAGTCCTGTTAATACTTCCCAGAATGATATTAGCCTTTTTAGCAACTGCATCACATTGTTGGCTCATATTCAATTTGTTATCCACTGTAATCCCCAGATCCTTTTCAGCAGTGCTATGACCTAGCTGGTTATTCCCCATTTTGTAGTTGTGCATTTAATTTTTTCTTTCTAAGTGTAGTATTTTGCACTTGTCTCTAATGATATTTCATCTTGTCAATTTCAGACCAATTCTCTAATTTTTCCAGGTCTTTTGAATTCTAATCTTGTCCTCCAAAGTGCTTGCAACAACTTCCCAGCTTGGTGTCATCTGAAGATTTTATCGGCATACTGTCCACCCCGTTATCCAAGTTAATGAAAATATAGTACTGGACCCTGACAGATTCTTGTGTGGCACCACTCAATATGTCCTTCCAGTTTGACAGTGAACCACTGATAACTATTTTTTGAGTGTGTTTTTTTCAGCCAGTTTGTGCATCCATTTTATAGTAGTTTCATCTAGACCACATTTCCCTATTTTGCTTATGAGAATGTCAAAAGCATTAATAAAATCTACATAAATCATTTATGCTTCCTCATGTCTACTAGGTCAGTAACCCTGTCAGAGAGGGAAATTTGGTTAGCTTGGTATGATTTTCACCTAGAGATTGGCTGTATACCATACAGTGAAGCTGAGCCACAAGCAAGTTGTACAGAGTGCAGTGCAATAAAGACCTCTGTATGAAGAAACTAATCATATCATTGAGATGTCAGACAACTGTACAACTTACCATTATGCTGGAATTTCTGCTTTGGAAATGTAGTTTGACAGAGTTGGAGAAATTCTATTATAAGATACCTGGAAAAGTAGGGCATTGAAAAGCCCTTCATTAAAACAATGGCACATCAGCATCAATTGTATATTATTCTTCCATGCAACAAACATGGTCACAAAACACAGTAAAGGAATTTTTCAGAACCTGGAGTGAGATGACAAAAGTCTCAACATCAGTGTTGAAAGATGAAATCATTTAAAATAGCAAGCCAATAGAAGTCACAAATGCTTAAGTTGGGACGCTCTAGTAATCAATACAGAAATGGCAATTAAAAAGTTCATTGATTAATCTAATACTGAAGTTAAACTAGAAAGATCATGACCAATTCACTGACTGAAGTAGGAGTAAGGTACCATCAACCGAGGAAACAGTTGTCTTTACGTTTTGGGACCTGTAGATAGAAAATGTATTGTGGGATGAAAACACAATTTGCAGTTAAGTTTATTCATTTAGGAAGAATGCTCTGATACCCCTTTTGCAATAGTATTTCCATATCTGTTTGATGAGGGAGGTTTGGTGAAAGATGTTATCACTTTCAGAAGTACAATGATGTTTGCAAACACATTATTTTTGTCCACTACAACCTTTCACCCATTAATAAATTTGTTCATTTAGTTATCTCTTGAGAGAAAACCAAACTTCTTTCAATAGAATGTGTAGTATTGAAAGTTTTTCTCTTGTATTTTGCACCATGACCCCATTCTGACAACAAAAATTACTATATGACCCCGAGGGGGGGGGGCCCAAAGTCTGACCCTGCCCGAGCCCCACTACCTCAGGTGGGAAGGCCAAAGGGCTTCAGCCCAAGGTGGGGTCCTGTAACCTGAGCCCCGACACACAGAGCTGAAGCTTTTGGGCTTGGGCTCAGGCTTTGGCTCTGGGCCCCCGCAAATCTAACTCCAGCCCTTGTGATGCCATTAAAATGGGGTTGCGACCCACTTTGTGGTCCTGACCCACAATTTGAAAGCCACTGCTCTAAAACGTAGAAAAAAAATCAGTGACAGCACATTTTGTTTGACATTTTTTTGAAACAAGACAACAGGCCAGATCTTCAGCTGATGTAAATCACTGATCTACGCTAGTTGAGGATCTTGCACAGCATCTTAATTTTGTTAATCTTTAAAATTAAGACTTCTTATGCTGTCATCACTACCTTTGTACATGCTGTGCACCCATGCAAGGGTCAGGTTAGGCAGAATCTGGTCTTCAGTTGTACTTTTAGGTAGAATAGCCTCTAATGGCTAATTAATCTGCTCATTGTAGAAACAGTCTCTTTGT